ACAAAATACCGCTCTTCTCGATTTCCATGGCATTGAACTTGCTGCTTCTACTTTCACATTTATTTAGGTTGGCTCCTGCTACTGTCTTGAGTTATACTTGTGTTAGATTGAATTCTCATAATACTCTAGAAGGTGTTGAATGAGAGGTTCTCTAAAACAATTTAGTATGGTTTTTGTTATTTATCTAAACATTGAGGGAGGCAACTTTTATATGGCTTAACTATTAAGTAGTCCATTTGTTGGTGCGTAACTGAAAGGAGGAAAATTGAAATGGTTTAATGTGTAAAACCCTACTTGTAAATCATAAAACGCTTCCAAGGAAATCGGTCACAAATACCTACGAATTTCGGCATAATAAAACCTTTGAGGTACGAAAAAATGTTCGAGTTTTTTTGAAGTTCTAGTTCTATTGCAACATGGAATGAATATTCATCACTTCATACCTGTAAAATTTCCTAATATATTCTATCAAAATATAAAAGAACGAACCATATGCCGCACTCCCATCTTTGTGTGACGCCGCCTGCGTTGCCGCTTGACGCTCCACTCAAGCGACACGTCCGAACTTCGTTCGATTGAGGCGTATGAAAAACAGGCCCTGCCACAGCAAGAGCAAGCACCAGGACACGGCGCATCACCAGGAGTTGTACTGCGCTTGTGAGACGATACTGAGAGTGTGAGGGGCTGCTTGAAGGTGTCTTGTGGTGTGGCAACATCGGCGACAGCATTGGGAGGATTGCAGAAGAGAGGCGGGGCGAAGTGCCGAGACGGCGCAGAGACCGAGGGCTCGCTGATTTCACACTGTGAAAGCGGTAATGCGTCCACGTTAACCTCTGATGCCGGTGGGTCATTTCTAAAAAACAAAGACGTCAAATAAGCAAAATCAAGGGCTGAAACACGGAGACATTCAAACACTCTTGAAATCAGCTCTAAATAAAAAAACAAGGAATGTGCGAATAAAAAACCCTTATTGCAATTTCCTTTTCAGATGCGTCGGTTAATCATTCTCGGCTAACTGCCAGATTAGTGAAGTGCAAACGGACACCCTATCGATACAGTCATTCATCGAAGTTACGACGGATAACAAGGAAAGTGAAAACGCAAAATGGTTGCAAGCCTTTTAAGTTGGATAAATGGTCGTCAGACCAACACCATGCCTGTTTTCGGAGGCCGTGGGTTCTCCAAAAAGACGCCCGTTTTTCACCGGAGGAGGGTGCAGCGGAACAGAAGCTGTCGCCTGTCTGACGCCATTCCCACCAACAAGGCTTATTTCCCTCAGTCCCTCGTCGAGGCTCTCGTCATCCTGAGCCGACCGCTTGCACTGCAGCAGGGAAGGTGCTAAACGGGTGGTCGTGGTAGCGGTTGAAAGTGCAGTTGGTTTTCGTTGCTGCAGCGGTGTTTGGTGCTGCTGGCTGCCTGAGGATAAAAAGTCGTCTAGAGCAGCCAAAACTGAGCATTTGGTTGTGGTGGAGGGAACAGAATCTTTGATGGCCAGTCGACTCATCGGACAATAGCTGACTTCTTCCAGAAAGGTAGTCGGTGTAGGCGAACGATACAGTTGCTTAAGCATGAACAAAATTGACAATTGCAGGGTCTTATTATAAAGCTTGCAAAACGCCCTGGTTCCGTTGATTGCAAAAGGCAAGTGCTTCAGATATGGAGAACAGGTCTACTGTTTTCAACTAAAGTGGGATCTTGGCTCAAAAACCCTTTTGTGCTATCACTCCTCTTCAAGCCATTTAGCACTGACCGAAATCTATCCCAGCTGCCACAAAAATAGCGGTCGCTTCATTACCTACTTTTCCCACCATTTTTGTCTTGTGAAAGCAACTTCATAAACTAACAGGAGAACGTTGTTTTTAATTTATTGATGATGCTTTACCTTCATTAACTAACACAGCGAATTGCATTAGCTTAGAATCTTGATTATTTGGTGGGATGTTACAGGCGTTTTCTAACTTGTTTAGTTACTGCCTACAGACACACGTCATGCAGCACTTAGGCGCCGGGACAAAGGCTTTGACGTTTTGCTGCGCGTAAGAATTTGCTGCCTGTCCTCCCCAAACATGAAAAGTAGCGAAGCGGTCGGGACAAAATTCAAGATGCAGAGCACTATATTTTATCCTAACTATTCAAATCCTTCCTTAAATAACAACTCATTGTTTATGTCCAGAAGCTCGGGTAAGTGTCACTTCTGTGATTTAGCACGAAGATTTGCGGTTCACTAACGGCTCATGCAGAGACCTGAGGAAGTAAAAGTTACCTTATCACTACTACTGCGTTTATAGATCTTCTCGCGGTCTGTCCTGTTCTTGCGGTCGGCGCCCTTGGGTTTGAATACTTTGACCTGGCAAGCGGCCGAGTAAATATGCGAGGCGCCATATTCACGAAATGAATCAACCTAAAGAAAGGTATAAGGGCACTCAAGATGTAATTTAAAAGATACAGTTGCAAAGAATCGCTGGGAGTTAATGACTCGACCTATACGCAATTTCGTAGCCACCAGCACTTGATAGAAATCAAAGCAAATCTAATTTGATCGACTTGATTTGCAGTTACATGCTTTTAAGTGGCAACATTTTGAAAGACATTCGATAGTTGGAATACCTCCACTGGAAACAAAACCCCATGTTTGGGAATGAATTTCGGTTTATGCAATGAACTGGTCAATGAGACCATAGAATATGGCGAGAAAAAGGCAGATATGATTAGATTAGCATCATCGAAATTCTATGGAGCATTTAATAATTTGTGACGAGTATTTCAATGGAGACAATAGTAAATGCCCCGATTAGACTGCTGTACCAGTAGTGGCATAATCTTACGAGTCCAGTATTAACGAACTAAGAAGAGACGAGTGCAATATTTTTAGCAATAGAATAACTAACAAATATCCCGGTTGTGCACAAATAGGGCAATCAGAACTACTTTTGAAACCGTTTCGAAGCAACCAAAGTGAGTAGCTTAATTAATGTAAACATGCAACCGATTTTGTCATTAAAAAATGACTTGAATAAGAATTGACGCGAATTTTGGGAGTGCACGAATTTCAGAACCGAACTAGTCTTTTAGACTGACGTTCTTTATACTTGAAAATAATGCAAAGGTGTCTTACCTGAATCCGAAAGGGTACACCTTTTTCTCCCCCATGTTTTTTGGCTGTGAATTCAGTACTAACACAGTGTGCCTTCACGGATATACTGCACGGTGTGGATGAATGCCAAATGCATACGATAGCATTCAAATTGTCTGGGTCGGGGTACGCCTTCTGACAGTTAAAACAACCCTCCAAATCTAGAGAATTCACAAAACATCTGTTATTGAATACTTCTATGACCAACATATTGCACTTTCGCATCCAGAAATGAGAGATGGATAGTTTCGGGCTTTGCTAACAGTACCAACAATAAACAAGTTGCCACACCAAGCATCTTTCAGCATGTACTCAACCTATTTGATATCCAAGGTTGCCCTTCACTTCTAAAACTTCTCACAGCAAATAAAAGCATCCTACATTCATAGTTTAAGCAGAATAACAGCCAACTAAATGACGAACACAATTAAAGTACGCTGAGACAACTGTAGGTAACCATTCGTCGTAAAAGTTTATTAAAACCCCTTACCAAGATCAAGCAACCTTTCTCCCTGGTGGTGCGCCTGCCAGAATGCTAGGTGCTGAGCCTCCATAATTTGCATTCGTTCCTGATGGAAGCAGATTCTAACCACACTCTAGGTAGTATTGGTGAAAGTGAAGGTTAGAAGGGCTTTAGTTTACGAATAAAATGAATGCTATGTTTCCCCTACCCTAATGAGAATTTTTTCCTCGCCGTAAGCGTCACTGATTTCAATGGCGTAGGGCTGATCCTGGTTGAGGTAAGTAAGCGAATCCTCGCTTAAAAGCGTGGCGGGAGACGTAGGTGCCTTTAGTTCGATTGTCAAACTAAAGTTTACGAGTTGAATATAACGAGGACAGTAAAGGAAGTTGACCAGAATATTTAAAATGGTATAATTTAAAAACCGACTTTGTTGCTGTATCGTGCAGTAATGACCATTTGGGGGCGTTTGATTGATGAAAAGATGCACCCCATTACTTGATAAAATGTAGTTTCTAAGGCTGTAAAGCTCGACCCACATGGCCCGATTGCAATTCTCAGGCCCGAATATTCTGCAAGAGCGATTGAGGTAAATTACATTTAAGCATTGCCACAAACCTTTGTAGCTATTAATCAGGTTTGACGACACATTTAAAAAGCGATTTTCAAAATGGAAGGATTCATTCACAAAAGTTAAACACAATCCAAAAAAGCGAAAACAGGGAGATTTCGGTGATGTATTAGCACAGAAACTGACGCAAGGGTAGCGATAGTCATCTTGGGCGCATGATTGTGAAAGCTCTTAATGTTTATACATTTTCATGTACATATCCCATTACTTTACAGTCAGAGCACTTTATAACACGAAACCAATGGCACAGTTAAGGATCGAAAGTCTATTTCTGTACCAAGGAACCAAACATACGAGATAAATTGGAAGAGACATTGATTTGATCGCTAACTGAGATAGTGTTATGAAAAGACATATACCAGAGTGAATAAAATTAGTCACATACGGCGTTGTATGCGCATACGGCGATTCATCTGATTTACGTTTGCTAACTTGGGCATCAATCTCCGGGTTGATGATCAGAAATTCAGATGGAAGAGCTGATAAAGCATCACTAAAAAATAATATGAAGTGAGTGCATGATAAACTCATACTGTAAACCTCCGAATACGTTTAGAGTTAGCGATAAATTTAGCAAAACCAGACAATAGAAAAAACATACATTTTAGGGACTAAAGGAAACATTAGGCGGCTCAAGATACCATATGCATTCTTAGTAATTAACACATTAAAATTAATTGTAAGAAAAGCGCGCAAACATAATCTAAAAACAGCGATTTAGGTGTGATAGTAGTGCAATTCCAGAAAGAAGTCAATAAACGGACCCTAACTGTGAAAGTAGTTAGCAATGACTACTTAAAACGAAGCCAAAAAGATACCTCATATTAAACATGGTGTCTGAAACGTCAGACTGTAAGGACAAAAGTGTTCTATCAAGGTCTAAAGATGCATCTTTGAGATAACTAGAGTCATTGTCGAGGTCCATAATAAGAGAACCCATGAATTACTATTGTAGTGTAATGTCACGACGTCTCGGGGCGCAGACATATTGGACCACGCTAGCCTCAGCCAATCGTCTTTCCCTCTGCGTTCTAATGGCATGTGAATAAGATATGCGGCCAACCAGAGACAGACATGAATGAAGAGCAGTATATAATAAGCGGTGTGTACAGCGTGGCGGACTCGGATGGAAGGCGCCTGAATTGTGGTTCTGGCTTGTGATTTGTCAATAAATCATGTCTTGTTGTACCACTCTTTTTCACACTAAGGTTTGGATATCCTGCTATATTATAGTGTGGTGTATTGTGGTGTGGCGTCGGATTAGAGCGCAGACATGTTGGACCACCTGGCCTCAGCCAATCCCGTGTCTCTCTGCGATCCAATGGCATGCGGGAAGGGAAGGCAGCCAACCAGAGAAGGACACGACTGAGGTGCAGTATATAATGAGCGGCGTGGCCAGCGTGCTGGACTCGGATGGAAGGCGCCTGACGCGTGGG